CATAAAAAGGTGGCGAGGTCAGCACAACTCAGAGAATCCCCTGAACGCTTTTTCTGAAAACACCCAGGGCACCTGAGCATGTGCCAGAGCTGCTTTCCACATGGCTCCATTTTATCATATAGAATATTAAGAACCCTGGGATAATTCCTACTGCTTTGTCAGGGATATTTTATAGTGAGCCTGGCACCGGTCATGGTGGCTAATGCCTGTAATCCTAGTACTTTGGGAGGCTAAAGCAAGAAGACCGAATGTTTAGCTCAGAATGGGTAATTTTTCAAGCAAGAAGTGTCTTGAAAACCTGTTTAAAAAGGGGTGGAGAAGCTGGGCATGGTGGCACACCCGGGTGATCCCAGCATTCGGGAACATGGGGTAGCAGAATCAATGAGAATTCGAGGCCACTCTGAGCTACAAAGTGAGCTCAAGACAGCCTGAAGTACATAGTAAGACCCTGTTTCAGAAAAATAAAAGGGGGGGTGGGAGGGAATATAGCTCAGTTGGAAGGCGTGGGCTCAATCTCCAGTACCACAAGAAAGAACGAAGAAACAAAGAAACAAAGAAAGAGAACCTGATTTTTTTTGTTTTTTAGAGACCTATGTGACACTGAAGAGTAACACAATTTAGTCCTTTATAAAGGATAAGCCTGAGTCATTTGTAGAAGACTAGATACATTTGAGAACATGTTAAATGAAGTAACTCCAATGCACAAGCTTAAATACACAAACTTAAATATCACATAGTTTCTCTTACTATAACTATGAAATAAAAGACAGATAATAGGAAAAGACAGGGAGAAAAACAGGGAAAAAGGCATTGTAATCCAGTGTAGACAATGTTTCTAAAGGTATACCCGAATTTAGTATAATTCTTTAGTATAATACTTTATATATTTTTTGGCCTATTAGTCTGGTTTTCAATATGAAAATACGATAACTAACTTTATAAGCTCTTATAAGATAGAAAAATGAATCTGATGCTGGAAAAACAAAAGTAGGGGTAGAGGGAGGGGTTTAAATAGAATTGAGCTGATATGTACACGTAACAGTTCCCTACAATGAATGTAATCATCATGTACTCAAAACATGGATACATAAAAATAAACATTATAATTATACTAATAATTTCAATCAGTTTTTTTTAAATAGCAGTTAATGTTTAGAATATTCACCTTGACTAACTGAGTATGCTGGTATCTGTGATCTAAACAACTACACTGAGGACAGCAATGTGTAATACAAAAACCACTGGCTGAATAACTCTCATCTTGGTCTTCTAAGTATGTACTGATTCTAATGTCTTATCAATTATTATTATACTCTCTATAAAATAAATTTTAAAAAGAAGTAAAGAAGGTTGGCAAGATAGCTCAGTGGACTAAGTGCCTGCTCAGGCAAGCACAGGGACCAGGGTTCAATCTCTGCTACTGCATGCTGTGCTGGCCCCACCAAGCTGGCGATTGAGTCCGGGTGCAGTGTTCACACCTATAATCCCAATCTAAGGAGGCTGAAAACAGGAGGATCACTAGGAGTGTCAGAGGCCTAGAGTCCAAGACCCTGTACCAAATAAAATTAAATCAAAGAAGACAAGAAAATAGGAAAAAAAAATTAAGGTTTCTTGAAAGCAAGCGCTAATAATCAATCATTTGTCCAATCCTGAATAGCTATTTGTCAATCTGAGCAACAGATCTGATTATAAAAATACATAATATAACAACCATTGTTAATTAGCTATTTTTGTTCTGAAAATCTGCAACATGTATTGCTGTATGTTGTCCTATTTCTGCCCGTGTTTCTGCTGTTCGCTTTTGCTTTTGTTTTTACTCTTCAAAATAAATAAATAAAAAAAATTTTTTAAATAAAAAATAAAAATTGGTCCTGCTGGGTCAGGGAGACAGCTCAGTGGAATAAGTGCTTGCCTGGCAAGTACAGGGTCCTGAGTTCTATCCCTGGTACTAAAGAAAAAAAAAAAAAATCGGTCCTGCTATAATCTGTGTGGCTCACTGTTGATTTTTACATCCTCAGTGCAAATGTCAACTCAGAGAACAAAGCAATAACATTGTCATCTAATGAGGAAAATAGACCTCGTTGGCCCCTGTAAGAGTCTCAGAGATCTCTGTGTGCACATTCACCCTGAGCTGAAATAACAGATGCAGGGTAACTAAAGGAAGACTCATCCAATGAAACCAATTCTCAAAAGTCTCTTCTTCTAAGACAGAGACTGAAGAATAAAAACAGAAGGCAATCCCACTCCAGCCCTTCCCTCTGGCTGGACATCAACGTAATGCCTCTTCTTCTGGTTCCTTTGAACGGCCCCTGGTTCTTATTTTATCTTCTACTTACATACAAGCACAGCACAAAGCTCCGTGTCATCACTCTGCCCTCGAGTGGTGTCACCCAGGTGGCCTGTGGTGGGCTGGACACCGAGATGTGGTTACAGCACACACCTCTCAATAGCGCACCATGCCCCTCCTTCTTCCCCAACTCTAACATTCAGGTGGTTAAACATCAAAGCCCGAAAGCAACCAGTGATAGACCTCAGGATCATCAAGCTCAGACCGACCCCTGTGCTCCCAGATGACATGTCCAGGCCATTGCTCTGGCTTCCACAAAGACAGTATGAATCATGAGCAGACAGTCAGAAACTCTTGGTATGCCTCTGGGTATGACTCCATTGAGAAGTTGGGTTTACCTGAGTTGTGCTTGCAGCCAGCAGAGGAGCAGAGCACAAGGGGTCTACAGTGGGTGTAAAGCCCTGATGCAGCTCCAGGGGCCTTCTCAACTCTGGAGGCCTTCTCAGCTCCAGAAACAACATGAGAAATGATGGCCTTAGGAAATAAAGGCAAGAGGGGCCCACAAGGCATCCTGCATACAGCACTGCTTGCAAAACTGCATCACCATCCCTGCTCACCTCTCTCTGTTCCAGGCCCTCTTCCATTGTGACTAGGTAACTAGCTGTGCCCAAAGCCACCTGCAGCTAACAACTTTCTCCCTGAAACTGTTCCCCAGGTGGCTCCACACCACCCATCGCAAGCCTGCTTAAGTGGAACACTTGGAAGAGCGACCCTAACCACCTCCCACAGGCCCTGACCTGCAGGTCTCAAGCCCCAAATGTTTTTTGTAAGGTGGTCCCAAACTCATTTCGTTGCTTGACTTGAAATGGCTGGAGGCTCTTATCAGTGGTCACGATGTTCTCACCTTTCAGGGAGAAATGCAAGTGTTTGATCGTGAGCTAGAACTGCGCCATATGCTACCAGAAATGTTAAAATTAACACATGTGCTGTACTATTAAAATCCCTCCAATTGTAAATTTCTGAAATTTACCTGGGTCCCCTAGTTTTGGATTAGGGAGTATAGGCCTGTAATGGTGACTAAATCCTTAGGGTTCTTCTCTGCACATTGTCTTCAATGCTTCCATCTTTATTTCCTAAGGCTAACATTTCTGGTAGGTTCAAACCCTCCCAAATTCTCCTATTGTCCTGTAAACCTCATATGTAATTTTTTTTGGCCTAATCACAGATTTCCACATTTATTTTCCTTCCTGTAGTTTGAATTTAATTATACAACTGTTCCATTCTAAAACATCAAGGCATCCATCAACCCCAGCATCATTTTCCAATCTTCAGTGAGTACAGTGACATCTTAACCAATTTGCTATACCTATGTGTTAATGCATCATTTTTTTTGCTCTTAGTTTGACTCTTTAAATTTATGTAGGAATTTTAATTTTATTGCTGTAAATAGAGAATACATATTGCCTGTCATAATTAGAAGGCAAGTGGAAATATCAGCGAAAAAAAGAAACTATGTTTCCCAAAAGGGTAAGCCAGACATCTGCTTGCTATTTATGAAAAGAGATAAGAGCCAATCTTATTGAGTATCCACTGTGCACTGTTTCTCTCCACCTCCCTTAAATCTCTTAACTCAGTCTTCCCAACCACCCTATGAGTTGGCTACTTATTACTGTTATCATTTTATGATGGGGTAATGAGTCACAAACAAAGTAACTTGCTTAAGGTCACATAGCTGATAAACGGCTTTAAGCAAACCCCATCCCAAGGTGATTCAGAACCATCTTCCAACAGAGCCTCTCCTGTGGTCCTCAACCAGCAGCCCAGGACCCACACGTAGGGAAATTCGATTGCTATGGGACAATTTAAATTTCTCCAATTCTAACATTTGACTTTATTATCTTCATACCCTTCATACCCGGGATTCTCACAACCTGTGCACGCAAGCGTGCTCGCGCACAGGTGACAGGAGGCCCTTCCCGCAGAGCAGCCGGCCCACCCTGGCGCCTCGGGCTCTGCCCGGGGCGCTCGCTCGGCGCCGCCTCCAGCAATCTGCAGACTTCGAAAGCCCGCACTAGGTGCCTCGACGCGCGACTGGCCCGGGTCCCGCGCCGCGCTCCGGTAGTCGGCACCAGGCCCGGGCCTCTTCCCCGCCCGCCTCTAACACACTGGTTTTCCCTGCTCAACCCCCAGCTGTTAAGAGAAGAGGCTGCCCCGACTTTACCACCTCGGCTCAAACTTCCCCAATCTCAGCCCGTCCCACTCCCGGCTCCGCCCGCAGGCGCGTGGGCGCGGCGCACCTCGGCGCCAGGGTGCGGGGAGGGGTGGGCGCCGGAAGGTGGCAGGTTAGCGGGGCGGGGCCGGGGCGGGAGCCCGGAGG